TTGCCGCGAGCGGGACCTCGCTAGCGCCTGCCGTCGTCTCATTCGACGCAATTCGGCGCCGCAAGTTGTCGCGACCGGTTGCTGTCAGTCCGGCGCGCCGCAGAGGACGCGCACTAAGTTTCTCGGCGCCCTGATTGATGCAATGTAACCCCGATCGAACAATTCGACAAGCGGAAGAGCCATTCGCTTGCCCCACCACGGTTTCCAGGGTAAAATCTCGAAGGGGAATTTCTAGGCCGCGGTGGCTGGGCAATGCCCCCATCTGTTGCGCCGGGCCTTGGCACGAACATCGCCCGATGCTTTCGTCTCCTTGAAAGCGCAGGGTGCTGCGAGCCACCTATGGTAATGTTTTGTGTAACTGTTCTCTTTAGTGATGGTGTTTCACGCAGATTTTTGTGCTAGAGGATAGATAGTGCTAGTTCTTTCCTATCATGATGGGTATGTTGGCCGGCGAGCGTCTTAGATGCGTCAGCGATGGGCGCTGGCCTTCTAACCAGTCTTGGCGGAAGTTGAGTCTCTTTCTCATCAAGAGAGGCCCCATGTCTTGGAGGGGTGGGATATTCTGCAGTCCCCCGCGCGTGTTTGTATTGCGCCCCGTCTGGTCAGCCGTCCACCTCATGTGGCTACCTGTGTTCGCGCTTCCTTCCCGCTTGCCACCCTGCTCTCTCCTTGATGATCGGGTGTCCAGCCACTGTCCTATATACGTCAACGATGGGCGCCTGCCTTTTTCATTGGTCTTGGCGGAAATTGAGCCTTTGAGTTGAACGCGTCGCTGTCGCGGGGGTGGGATATGAATGTGTACTCATCTAGTTGTGAGTCCGTATGTTGATATATGATCCACCATTTTTGTGATCCACCGTTCGCGTTTTTTGTATGTTCCGTGTCCTTCGCTTCGCTTGTGTTGCTAATATCCTTGGCCGCGCGTCCATTACCCGCGCCGTCATTAACCGAGTGAAACGGCGGATAGGGCACATCGGGAATCGACCTATATGTGTATATACATTTTGGTACTGACACATTGGTTGGTTCTGCGTTGTCTACAAACCAAGCTTTGTTGTACAGGGCTTCACAGATTGATCCCTGCTGTGCGGCCCTCAAATCGATTCATTTTTTCTGAACTACAGAATGATGCGGATTGTGCAACCAAAGGATTGACATCCTTTCGTGCACACTTACACGTTGATTCTTGGTGCGCGGTTTTCGAGCCGAATTATGTATGAACCTGGCTCGGGTGGGAAGAAGGGTGACGAAGAACATACGTGCACGACCCGTGGGACCAACAACGTTTGCGTTTTTACGTGTCAATGAGTTGTTTAATTCTAAGCCCAAAGGCACACATAAGCAGCACAAGCTGGAAACCCGAACGCAATCGAAACTTGTGTTTTGGCCGCGTTTTGACATTGACGATTTGTGGTTGTCTATGGTTATTGTTTGCACACAAACAACCGCTTGTACAGCCTTTCGCGTTGAGCCTGGGTGTGCGGCAGCCAAGTAGAATTCCGCCGTGGGGAACGACAAGTGTATTCCAAATGTGTAGAGGACCGTGGGTTTTTTGTTGTCATACGTTCACATTGATTGCTCTTGCGCGGCTCCCACCTATAATTGCTTTGAGTGTGTGGTCCGGAGGGAAGAGGCGTGGTGGGCCACGAACCACATGACGAAAAACAGGACACAACAATTCGGGGGGTTACACACGCGTTGATTTATGTTGCAGTTCTTTTATTCTGAACCAACAAGCACAACAACAAACAATCTGGACGCACTGCTAACATGTGTTCGCACCGCGTTTCCGCATTCACGACTTGATTCTTCGCGTGCGGCCATCAAGTGGATTCTTTTTTTTGTGGGGAGCTACAAATCGATTCCTATGGTGGAAAAGTCCTGTTGTGTACGCGCATTCATTCCTAGTCTGCGGCTTTCAAATGCCATTCTGCCTTGATCGTGCGGGTGGGGGCAGCTTGGGCGCAGCATTGTGGAGATGCGTGCGCACTGTGGATACACAGGTGTCCATTGCGTCTAGATAGACTACGTTATATATATATATATTGATTAAGTGTGTCGTTAAGCAGTAACCATCGATCCACCTATGAAAAGACAGTGGTTCTGGTCCACCATATTGTCATGTCTTGATTTCATGTTATTTTGGTTTTACGTTCGTTGCCCAGCTCGCTTCCTCCCTCCGAGCCAGACAGAGCGGAATTCTACCTGGAGGCAGCAAAATAGGAAGCTGTATTTCTGTAAAGAAGGATTTCTTAGGTACAAGGCCAAAAGGATTCTAGTTGATGGCCGCACAAAAAGAATCACGTTTGAAAATGCCGAAGCAGTGAAAACACAGGTTTTCAGTGCGTCCACGGATTTGTTGTTTTCTGTATACGCTTGAATTCTTCCAAGTGAAAACCACGTCGTTAATGGTTTCCCAGATTCCCCTATCAGTGCTATCACTGGAGGGGCCCTGGTGGATTTTGAAAGATTTGGCAAGAGTTTCCGGCCGATTCGGTGGGCGGCCAGGTCCCGGGGATCTTGTTTCGGGGTTTCTCGGTACCCGGTTGCTGGTTCCGGCCCGATTTCGGTGGACGGCAGGATTTCCCAGTTTTCGGATTCCCAGGTTTTTGTTGTTCGATTTTTGTATCGATCGGTCTCACCATCGATTTTTTCACACACACTTCTATCGATCCAATTATCGATCTCACAATCGATCTCAATTTTCGATGTCGCAGTAGATCTCACTATAGATCGCACGAGCGATCTCACGATCGACCACACTATCGATCTCACAGAAATGATTTCACGATCGGTCTGACGATCGACCTTCCTATCGTCCTCACGATAGATCCCATTATCGATGTCACGGTCAATCTAACAATCGATTTCAATATCCACATTTTATTTTGTTCCAAACCATCCTTTGATTGATATTTGTTATGTTGTAATTGTTTGTTTGTGCATATGTTTTTTGTTTTGTTTTGTTCGTGGCCCAGTTCGCTCACTCCCCCTAGACCAGGCACGCAGGAATTCGATTTGAAGGCTAGGCATCAATTTGTAAGTCAATGCGAAAGGTATTAAGTGTCTGTTACACAAAAGGAATCAATGTATAGTTCTCCACAAAGGGGGTCTATTCGATGACCGCACATTAACAGTCAACCTGTAAATGCCTGAACACTCAAAATATATTTTTTAAACAAAAAACGAAGTGTATTCGCGTTTCCATATTGTTCTGTGCGTTTTCGGCTTACCATTGAAAAACATACTTATGATTCAAAGCACCGCGTTTTTGGTTCTGCGGATGGTTTTTCTTGTGGTGTTTTGTTTGTTGGGCTTTTCGTTCGTCGGCCAGGCCTCCCCCTCTCCCCGGGCCAGGCGTGCGCGCACGGGCCGTCGCCGTCATGTTCCAAACAGTGTTATGAGCAAATCGCCCCGAGTTTCGTAGTCGGTCGCAGGTGCGCTGGGTCCGGCTGCCCCGTGCTGCAGGCTCGGTCGTAGATGGTTGGGCCGTCGTGGCGCTGGCTTTTTGGACCGTTATGGCCTGCTCTATGGCCGCTCCGCCGTGTTCAAGCTGCGGGGCTGGCCCTTGGTGGGCGGACCGCTACGGCTTCGATTGCTTGGACCGCGATCGTTTGCCCTATGGCCTCCCGCCCACTGCCCTGGTCTTCGGGTTGGCCATAACTGTCCGGTATCCTCTTGGTCAGCTTCTTGTGGATCGCTGGCTCGACAAGCAGTGCTCCAAGATTCAATCGTTCCCGGTCGACGCGCTGGCATCACCCTTGTGGTTTTCAAGATGGGTTTGGTTTTGCAGTAAGCGTGTGTGTGTGTGCGTGTGCGTGAGTGCGTATGTGTTCCCGTACGTTGATTCAAGCTCGACGCAGATCGCACATGCGATTGTGCCAGACGAGCGTTGACCCTGTCGGGCAGCTCCGAGCGACTCTGCAGATGTCGGCGCTGCCCGCATGCGTGTTGCTCCAGTGGGGCGTGTTCGCCGCCTGCCTGTGGCCGCAGCCGGCGGAGGGCAAGCTGGAGGCCGGGACCCTTCGCTTGGGCGGCAAACGAGAGGAGGACAGGTGGGCCTACCTGGGAAAGTTCGGCTACGCCGTCGGCAGGAACGGCACGTACAGGGTGCGCTTCCGACGGCGCCAGGGCGGCGCGCTGCGGGTGAACTTGGAGGTGTTTTTGGATGAAGACTGGGACCATGCCATGACGCTGCCGGCCTGCAAGCGGGCGTCGGAGGGCCCCGCGAAGAGGGCGTTCGACCGGGTCTCCCTGGGCCCGCCACCTTCGCGAAGTGCGCAGGGATCTGGCCAGCCAGGACAGTGGAGCAGCTGGACCTCTGGCAAGGTCTCCCAGACGATCCGGCCGCACATCTGGTATTTTGCGGCCTCCAGCTGCAACGCAACGGGCGGCGTCGACCTCGACTTCGAGCTCAGCATGCGCCAGTTCGACGACTCGGAGCTGAGCTTCGAGATGAGGTGGATGCCCTTGGTGAGCACGGCGATCCTCGCTTGCCTGACCGTCTTCCTCGGCTATTTCGGGTACCGTTGCCGCTCAGCGGCCAGGAGTGTGGGCAGCCTGCACCCGGTCATCCTTGCATTGGGGACCGCTGTGGCGCTCCAGTGGGCTGCGCTGCTGCTCGAGGTGCTGCACCTGCGGCTCTACAGCGCCAACGGCACGGGTGCTCCAGTCGTGGACACTCTGTCTGGTGCCCTGGACATGCTCAGCCAGGTGGTCACCGTGACCTTGCTGATCGGCATCGCGCGCGGCTACTCGCTGGCATGCTCGAAGTCCTGCGAGCCGTCCAGTTTGCAGCACATGTCGGGTCGGGCGAAAGGGGGGGTTTGGGAAAGGGGGGGTTACGAAATCTGCTGCATGTAGCTGGTTTCGGCCCCACTGAGGGGCCCGTTCCTCGATACATAGCCGCCTCCGGCGCCGGGAGGCGCCGGGAAAATCAGCTACGTGAGCTGATTCTCACCCCCCCCCTTTGCTATCCCCCCCTTTCGCCCGGCCCGAACATGGCCCTGGCAGTGGCCGTCCTGCACGTGGCCCTGGTGCTCCTGGACAAGTGGGGCGGCGAGGCGGCCCACGAGCACCACGAGAACGGTGGCGCCCTTGGCCTCGCCCTCCTGGGGGCCCGGCTGCTCCTCTTCGCGTGGTTCACGAAGGAGATCTCCGACCTGCAGGCCGGCGCTGGCCTCCAGCTCCAGGCATTCCTGCGGCGCTTCCAGGTGGCGGCCTCGGCCTACCTCCTGGCCTACCCGGCGCTGCTCCTGGTCGTGCAGGCCTTCGCGCCCTACCTCCGCCACCCGCTGCTGCAGGTGGGGCTCCTCGCCGCCCAGACCGCCTGCGCCCTGTGGCTCGCGGGGCTCTTCCTCTCCAAGGCCTCGGACGGGCCAACGGTGGTCGGCGTAACGGCGTGGTGGGTTTCGACATTCTCGGTGGGGTCGGTCCGTGGCCGTGCCCTACAGCTTGTGCCGCGTTTGTTCGAAGCACCAGCCGATCTGAAGTGTAGGCTTGCGCGGTTCGTGATCTTCTCCGTCTGTTTTCTTCGCGCGCTCGGTGTCGCAAGGAACAGCTTCCCTACCACGCCGTTCGCCTACTTGCGGTCACGACGCTGGAGTGTGGATAACTCTGGGTTCACGAGGGGCCTTGGTTCCCGGGCAGCTCCTTTTTCTGGCATTTCCTTACCTGGGCCTGGGCCCCGGGGAACCTCTCTGCGGTCGAGGCTCGTCGCTCCCAGAAGAGGCCCCCTCGCGCCGAGCTCCGCGGTCCGCACGGCAGCACGCTGACTGCACAAAACGCCGCTGGCCCGGCCGTGGCCGAGGGCCGCTACTACGAGCTGTCCGACATGAGCAGTTCGGTGCTGCCCGGGAGCGGCGGCCGCGCCGCTGCCGCGGACCCGCCCCCGGTTGCGGGCCAGGGCTCGTCCCTGCGGCGTCGCGGCTGAGCGCCAGGCCGCCGCCGCGCGCGGCCGTCCAGCGGGCGGAAGGCGCGGCGCCGCCCGCCCGCTCCGCGCCGGGAAACGGTACGGTGGAGATGTGCACACGGCAGTCGTTGAGATCACGTTTTTGCGTTTCTTCGACGTCCAGATCCCAACCTATTTCAAGTGCATTTGTACCACAAGAAGCTATGTGTGCTTGTTGTGTGTGATGCTCCGTGGGCGAGCCCGAACCCAATCTGCTGTACCCGCCTTCCTACTTCATGTTTCCATCCACTTCTTCCGACTGGCGGGAAAGGTATGTTCGCGTCGTGTTGGCCGGCGGCGACCTTGCTGCCGGCGTTCGAACGCCGCTGGCGACACATAATCGGTCAATGTTGAACGATTTGACGTTTCGCAAGCGGCCGATCGTTCGAGGTTGCACGATTCCCGCGGTGTCAGAAGCCAACGCCGAAGTCGGCACGGCGCGAACATGCCGTACGGAAACAGTGGGTGCGAAGACTGACACAATGTGTTGTTTATCTCGAGCAGGACTCGCTGTCGGTACCCCCCGCGGATGTTGCCCATCTGAGTCTGGAGGCCAGCTGCCCAACAGCGGCTGCTGTCGGTTTTTGACAACATGTCGTGTTTCACCACCCACCAGCCCACCCCAACCCAACCCGAAGGCCCCGATTTGCCCTCCATTTCCAGTGGGGGGGGTCGGGGAACATGGACAAAAAACACATCTGGAACCCGTCCCCCCCCCCCAACCCGAAATTCGGGTCTTCGGGTTGGGTTGGGGTGGTCTGGTAGGTAAGCAGTGTCGGGCGTCGTGCCGATCTGCTCCGTACCCATTCCGGGCGCCCACAGGGAGGAAGCTGCCCAGCAACGGCCCAGCAGCTGCTGCTGTCGGTTTCTGACGACACGTCGTGTGGGGGGCATCGTGCCACCGTGCTCCGTGCCCAGTTCGGGCGCCCCAGCGGAGGAAGACGAAGGGGTCCCGATGCGCGGGCACGATCTGCTCGCCGCCCGCGGGACGCGCGCTCGCGCGCTCGGGGGCCCGCGGGCCCGCGGCGGGTGCCCTCTGGCTCGCGAGGGCGGCCGCGCGCCTGCTGCCTGGCCGCCCGACCCCTTCTCGCGGCTCCGGGGGTTTCCCCGCGCAGGGGCAGGGCGGGGCGGCGGCCCGGCCCCGGTCTGCCAAGCCGGGAGGCGAGAGGTCGGCAGATGTCGGGGGCGGCCAAGACTCTGGAGGGGAAAAAACACACAGGCACAATTAATCGGCCACTCCCAGGAAAATATGGGAAAATATGGGAAGTGGGGGGGAAGACAAAAACCCAGAAAATATATAAAAATGTGGGGAATCTTTTTATGTGTGTGTATTTATTTGTGTGTCCTGGGGCCCCTTCAAAGACGGAGGTGGTGACGAGGGTTGCGTCGGGCACGTCCCCCTGCAGGAGCCAGCTTCAAGAATGGCAAGGGACAAGTATGGTGACGATATTGCTCGGGCTCTCTCGCCTGCTGTCTCGAGTCTGCTTCTATGCTTTCTGCTTTCTCTTCAAACATGCGCCTGTAGGAGGACATGCCCGACCTAGGACCAGGGGGTGGCCATCATGGCGGGGCCATGGTGTCTCCCCAGATTTCAGGGCGCCCAGCATCCGCCCCTGGGCCGAGCACGCGCCGCCGGCCATGATCTGCGCCCCCCCTTCGCCCCCGGAGATGAGCGCAGGCTCTGCCAGCAGTAACTCGTGGGAGTTTGGAGCCGGCTGGGGGACTGAGGTGGCCCAGCATTGGTTCTGGCGAGCGGATGGGAGGGGCGAGGTTCGACGTTCTGGGTTCGAGAAGGTTTTTGGCTTTGCCAGTTTCCGAGGGCCGTTTTCGGGCCCTGAGACCGTCGTAAGCGCGTCCGGGGGGGACAATTGTTTCCGTGAGGGGTTTGTGGTCCGATTTTGACCAGATTTGCCTTTGCCCCCCCGTCTTGACAGGTTTTCTCGGGCCCCATCCAGTTCAGACCCCCCAGCCGCTTCCAGTTATTTGTCGGTAGCAACTCATGGGAGCCTTGCATGTGCGAGGGCGAATTATATCCATATCCGCGGCCTCGCGGGCTGGGCCCCTGTGCCGCGACCCCGCGGATACGGGGCACATTGTCCGAATGACCCGCGCAAAAGCTACCCGTGCGACCGCGTATCCGCGGGATCGCGCCCTGGAATCCAGACCGCGCGGGCGCAGATACGATATGTTCGCCGCTCGTGACATGTCCTCGGAATTCCGTCTTTAAGAGTGCACGAGCTTGCGCCAGCGTCTTGTAGTCGATGGGGAAGCGTCGACCGGTGCCGATGTAGCGCCGATTGGCACCGACTTAGCGTCGACCAGCGCCGATAAGTGTCGGTCAGCGACGATTCGCGAAAGCCAGCAGGATGACATGGGAGGTGGTTGTTTTTGGATTCATTGTTTTGCCGATCGGCCCATGCCCTCGCACCCCCCCCCCTCTCCATGGAGTAGACCTTGGCCGTTTTCTGGCGCCTGCTTCGAGCAGTTGGAGTATCCCCCCAGAGGACCCACGGTTGCATACAGTCGCACTAGCAGAGGTCCGGAGACAGACCCCCCCCCTCCCCCACTTCTGCCCAATGTCTAAACGCCGAGTAAGAGAAACGCTCACGCGGCCCCCATGAGTTTCCACAGAAGGCCTTTAGAGGCATTCACGTGCACCGATCCTGTGTCCAGGTCGGGCCTGGCCAGGGTTAAGTCGGGCCCGTCCCTCTACAGGAGGAATACTCAGAAATAGTAAAATTACCCCAGTGCGACCCTACCTAGAAGTTGGAGCCCCTAGGAAAGCAGCATTGGTTGCTGTGCTCTGCTATGCTATGCTATGCTATGCTGCGCTGTGCTATGCTGTGCTGTGCTGTGCTGTGCTGCGCTATGCTATGCTATGCTATGCTATGCTATGCTATGCTAAGCTGCGCTATGCCATGCTATGCTGGGCTATGATATGCTGTGCTATGCTATGCTACGCGATGCTATGCTCTGCTATGCTATGCTAAAGCTCAGCGAAGCTAAGATGAAGGTAAGCTAAGCTAAGATAAATATGAGCTAACATGAAGTAAAGCTAAGCTAAGATGAAATAAGCTAAGCTAAGATGAGATAAGCAACGCTAAGCTAAGGGGACGTAACTGGGGGAACCGCGGGGCGGATACCGGGGGAACCGCCCGGGGCGATTTCCACTGCCCGGCCCCTTTAAGCACAGAGAGTAAGAACCCTTCTAGGCAGAGCCTAGGTAGGGAAATAGTCTGGGGACGATTTTGCTAGCATTTGTTGACCATTTAGGAGTATTGTTTGACTACTTTAATTTTTCGTAGAAAATCCCACTGTAGGGGGACACGCCCGACTTCAGGCCAGGGCCAGCGTATCTGTACAGATCTCGCCGCCCCGCTCAGTGAGGGGCCGCAGGCCCAGAGTGAAGTCGAGCATGTCCCTCTACAGGATGAGTATTCAAAAGTGATCACAGAGTCAGCATGAGGGGGCCGAACGGTCATTCATTGTCCCTGGGTGCGTGGCTGAAGTGGGGATCCGTGGTGAGGATTATGCTTGTTCCGTCGTTGTTGCTGTTGCTGCTGCTGCTGGTGTTGGTGCTGTTGCTGCTGTTGTTGTGGTTGTTGTTGCTGCTTTGTTGTTGTTGCTGCTGCTGTTGCTGTTGGTGTTGTTGGTGTTGGTGTTATTGTTGATGTTGATGCTGTTGTTGTTGTTGCTGTTGTTGATGATGTTGCTGTTGCTGCTGCTGTTGCTGTTGCTGCTGCTGTTGTTGTTGCTGTGGTTGTTGGTGTTGTTGTTGTTGTTGCTGTTGCTGTTGTTGTTGGTGGTGTTGTTGCTGCTGCTGCTTCTGCTGCTGCTGTTGTTGTTGCTGTTGTTGTTGGTGTTGCTGTTGCTGCTGCTGCTGTTGTTGTTGGTGTTGTGATTGTTGCTGTTGCTGCTGCTGCTGTTGCTGTTGCTATAGTTGTAGTTTGTGTTGTCGCTGTTGTTGTGATTAATGTTGTTGTTGTTGTTGTTGTTGTTGGTGTTGTTGGTGTTGTTGTTGTTGTTGCTGTTGTTGGTGTTGTTGGTGTTGTTGTTGTTGTTGTTGTTTTTGTTGTTGTTGTTGTTGTTGTTGCTGCTGTTGTTGTTGTTGCTGCTGTTGTTGGTGAACTCTCACTTCTCAAGTAATTATTGTTGATCCCCCCCGTCCGGTGTGCATTGTTTTTTTGATTGAAGTGCCCTCCCTGGGGCTCGCATTTTTTTCATGGAACATCTTGAGGGTCAAGCTGCTTTGTTGGCCCCCCGTTTACAACAACAACGGCTCCCGCCTGATACGTCCTTACAATTTATTGAAGAATCGCGTTCTCGCTTGGGACTTCCTTGCATTTTACCACCGGATCGCGGCTCCCGCTTAATATTTCTTTACAATGTATTGAGGAATCGCGCTCTCGCTTGGGACTTCCTCGCAATTTACCACCGAATCGCGGTTCCCGCCTGAGACTTCCTCACAATTTATTCAGATGCCGCTCCTCGACACTCAGGAATCGCGCTCCCGCTACATATTGCCTGGCGGTTCAAGCAGAATTTACGCTTCAACGACCCGCCCGCTCGACCCGCCCGTCTGGGCCTGCCCGCCCGACCAGCCCGTTACGGACTGCAGTCGTCGCTCGCTGCCCGTCGGGACTGCCTTCGCTCGCTCGCTGCGGACCTCCTCCTCCTTCCTCCTCGTCTTCCTCCTCCCTCCTCTCGTCGTGGTCGTCGTCGTGGTGAGCCCGCTGTCTGTCCATCTTGGGGTCGGGTTGCCGCGGGTCGGCGTGTGCATCGCCAGCGCTGCCACTGGCCAGGCCGACGGTCCGCCGCTTGCCGGGGCCCGGTTTGCCGGCCTTTTGAGACGCGCGTGTTCTTCTGCAGGCTTCGAATGAAGGCCTCCGTCGACGAGGCCGAAGGGGCGTCCCCGCAGGTTTCCGGAGCCTCTGGAGCTGCTCGGTGGTCATCGGGGTCATCCCGAGGCCCCCCAGAGGTCATATGAGGCTTTCGGGTGCCTTCCAATCCCCCCGCGCTTTGGTTCCGCACCAGTCTCCGCGCGCACCCACATGCCCCCACTTTTCAACGGTCTTTCCCCCTCTTTTCTACTCTTTCCCTTTATCTTCGTTTTTTATGTCGTTCGTACTCCCTTGTGCTATTCCTCACTTCTTCGCATTCCGCCCATTCCTCCCCAGGTCACCCCATCCTACCCCAACAATCTCCACCTCTTCCCGCTTGCATTCCGCTTTTCTCCCAAATATGTCCTAGTTCCTTCTTCAGATCCCTCTGGGCGCCCCCCGCTCCTCCGCGCTCTTCCCGGTTCCTCTTCTCCATTCTTTGCCAATCCTCCTCCCGAGACCCTACTCTTGTCCACTCCGCCCCAATCCATTCCACATCCCCGCGCTGTTCTCGACGCGGTTGCAGTTCTCACTATCCTTCCGCCCCGCCCCCCACCCCCCCCCTTCTTTTTCAGGGTTCCACGAAATTTGTTTTTGACACGAGTTCGCAGTTGTACTTTCCCCCGCGGGGGTATCCACGATATGTTTTTTTCAAGGGGGTGCGCGGCGTTGTTTGTGGCGCGACCCATGGCGAAACTCGTCGTTCACTTGTGTTGGAGTTGTTGGCGCAAGCCATGGCGCAATCTGAATCGCCACTCGCAGCGCAAATCATCGTCCTCCCTCCTACTTGCCCCTCCACTCCCTTCCTCCGATCCCTTCGTTCCCATTCTCACCCTTTATCTGTTGCCCTTTGTTTTCGAGGGCTTCACCGACCACGCGCGGCAGGGAATGAATGCACCCCCCAAAAGGGGGCACGGTCGAAAACGAAGAGGGCGGGTATCCAGGGTTTGGGGAATTCATATTGCATGACGCGCGAGCAGATCAGAGCGGACAGTCTTCAAATGATTGTTGTTGTTGTTGTCGTCGTCCCACCCGTGACCCACCCGCGATCCACCCCGCGATCCACCCAGCGACCCACCCCGCGACCCACCCCGCGACCCACCCCGCGACCCAACCGCGACTCACCCCGCGACCCACCCGCGACCCACCCCGCGACCCACCCCGCGACCCACTTGCGACCCACCTGCGGCCCACCCCGCGGCCCACCCCGCGACCCACCCGCGACCCACCCACATTGGCTTAACGAAAAAATCGGCGCTGGCGGCGGTTTCGTTGCATAATTTGTGAAACTTCGGCGCCATCGGCGGGTTTAGGGTCTCGCAAACTGCCGCCGTCCCCACCGCCCCCTCATTCTGATCCGCATCAGCGGGGTGCTGCGTAGTCCGGGGGCGATTGTTGGAGCATGTTTGGTTACTTTTTTTGAATATTTGTTGATTATTCTCATTTCGTCCAAAATCCGCCTGTAGGGGACATGCCCGACCTAAGCCCAGAGGTCCGCGCGGATTTTTGGGGTCGGCGCTGGACCCCTCCGCGCGCTCCGTTCGCCAGGGTAGAGCGGGTCCAGCGCCGATCCAGGATATCCGCGCGGGCCTCCGAAAGTTTGTGTTCTGTGCCGACCCGCTGTCTCCCGACAGCGCCTGGGTGCAGTGCGGCCCCGCGCTCGCCCAGAAGCAGCTCGCCCTCGCGCCCGACCTCGAGGGCGCCTGGCTGCGGCTGGACGCGCCGTGGCCTGAGCGAAGCGCCGCACCTCGCGGCCTCGACGACCCGCTGCCTGCCAACACCTCGAGCAACAGCGGCAGGGCGGCCCCGGTCCCGTGGCCGCCGGCACGGGCCGGGCCGCGCCCCTCCCTACGGATCCTCAACCAGGGCCTTGGCATCGCTCGGACCTGTGCATGTTTTTCCGGCGAGAACCATCGAGGACCATCCTGGACAATGGACGTCCGAGCGACCGCAAGGTCCCTCTGCCTCCCTCTCGTGCTCCTCCTCCCGCTCTCCCTCCTGCCTGCCGTTCCTCCTCATACTCCTCCTCCCCCTCCCTCTCCTCCTCCTCCTCCTCCTCCTCCTCCTCCTCCTCCTCCTCCTCCTCCTCCTCCTCCTCCTCCTCCTCCTCCTCCTCTCCTCCTCCTCCTCCTCCTCCTCCTCCTCCTCCTCCTCCTCTCTCTCCTCCTCCTCCTCCTCCTCCTCCTCCTCCTCCTCTCTCAGAGGCAGGGCTCGTCTCGATTCCTCCCATTCGATTCGATTCGATTTCGACGGCTTCCGATTCCGATTCGGTTCGACTTGGGATTCCGATTTGGGCTCCGATTTCGTTTTGGAGGCATACTGGCCCGCCGATTTCCGCCGATTCGACTTTTTCCCGACTCGGCCGCCGATTTCCGCCGATCCGAGTCATTTCGACCGCCGATTCGACTTATCGTTTCGATTCTAGGCTCTCCTGCAGAGGAGGACCGTTTGAGACACTAGTAGTTTGCGTTCGGGTGGCCCCCTCGTCGCCACGGCTGGACGAAGCGCGGCAAAGTGGTGCGTTTGGACCTTGGGAGGGGTCTGGGGATCGATTTTGAATTCCCAGTGTCTCAAGCCGCCTTGCTCCTCCTCCTCCCCCTCCCCCATCCCCCTTTGCGTCTGCTCTCCCTGCTGCTGCTCATCGTCTGCTTTCCATGCTCCCCTTCCGATGATGCTCTCCCTGCTATTGCTCCCCCCCTCCTCGTCCTCCTCCCTCTACCTCTCCCGTCTCGACTCCCATCCTCCTCGTTAGCATCTTGTTCACCGTGTCGCTTCTCCTGTCCCGTCTCGCCTGCCTGGCTGCATCGTGTCCTTGGGGCCGTGGATATGTGCCGTCGTAAGGATAGCAAGGGTGTGATGTGGGGTCTGATCAGTAGGTCGACCCTGCAACATGGAGGGTACCCTTGTGTCCTGTCTATTGCTGTTCGTGTTCTCTCCTGCCTGCTTCCCTCGGCAGGAGAGACGTATGGCCCCTCGGGTATCCTCCGCAGGGCCAGCTGATTACCTGCTCGAGCCTTGTGGCAGTCGCGCTCGATTCGGGCGCCGCTCCCCCATTTCAGAGGTCTTGCTTCTGGTGTTGAACCTTGCAGTTGAAGGCCGCATGTCTCCCTCGATATGCTGTCGTGATCACCAACTGGCGGTAGGATGACAAGTTGGACGGGAGAGGAGGGAGAAGGGCTTCGTTCTAGGAGGTCCAAAGCATCAGAAAAAGGCTTTTGGGGGTCCGGGAGGGAGTGGTAACGGGCCAGTCCTTCTTGGATCAGCTTAACAATGTTTTGTTTTTTTTGTGTGAACGTTTTCTAGTTTGGGCTCTTGACAGGCTGAAAATGCAAAACAACAAAAACACGCTACGGTGTTTAAACGTTGTTCGGGAAATTGCTTTGCGTTTTCAGGTTCGTCGCTGTGGTACAGCGTCTTGTGGCGCTTGTATGTCTTATCGTCGAAGGCTTCTCCGTGTCTTCTCTGCCAGCTTGGCTCCCGCGCTCCCCGCCCTGCCACAGTTCGCCCTCTCTGCCCCCCCTTCCCCACCCTCCCAGGTCGACGCACCTGCCTTGACCCATGAGCTGCGCACGGGAGGTGCCCCAAAACCGGTTCCCTTCGCGGAGACATGAAAAGAACCCCCCCAGAAACACCGTTAACATTGGAATGAGACAGAGAAGATTAGCATGGTCCCTGCGCAAGGATGACACGCGCAAATCGAGAAGTGTATATATATATGTATATATATATATATATATATATTATATATATAAAAAAAAAAAAAAAAAAAAAAAAAAAAAAAAAAAAAAAAAAAAAAAAAAAAAAAAAAAAACTGACACCGGTCTAGCGCCAGACGGGGGGCGGCAGCAGGGGGAGGGCGTGTCTCCGCGACGAGGTCGCCAGCGACGGCCACAGAAAGCAGACTTTCAGGAAGGAGACGATAGGGATGCGCAGGGAGAAGGAAGCACGCAGTCCACGCATCTGAAAACGCTAAGAACGTACGACGCCGAGCCGAAAACGCGGAAGGACAAGCCCTGGGCACATCTGAGATGAGCCAAGCTGTCCTTAGAGGGCAGACGAACCACCATCAAGGAAACACTCCTACAAGCGAAGCGCAGAGTGCACGCGACGAGGAAGGGGGCGGACAGGGCGGGACTGTCTGGTAACCCCCCATGACTGTTTTTTTAGTAAGCGCCAGTTGTGGGGATGGGGGGTGCTCTGTCCCCCCCTGACGCCAGGAGAGGAGAGTGAGGGATAGGAGTTGGAAAACGGGCAGGCCCAGTTCCTTTGGGGCCCTGGATGCTATCTTGCGCGCGCGGGACCCGGCGTCCTGGTCCCTGGCGGGCACGAGCGGGGTGCTCAGATGCTCCACTGCCAACGCCCTGGACTGGGGCGATGCCGTGCCCGCCGTTGCCCAGGGTGTCGGCAACAGCGCGCCAGCGCCAGATCCAAGAGGAGGAGGGACGGGGAGGCAAGGACGACGCCCGGGCTTCCTCTCCCGCCGCAGCCTCCTGGACGTGCGCGGCGTGCTGGTCGAGTCAAACGTCACCAGCTGCACGCAGTCCACCGTCGAGCTGCAGATGGACCGCGAGGGGCCGCGGCAACCCGACCTTTTGCTCCCCCTCCTCTTGCGTCTCGTCCGCCTCCTCTCCTCCTCCTGCTTCTCCTCCCCGTCGTCCTGCTCCTCCCTTCACCCCTTCATCATCCCCCTCCTCGTCCTTCTCTCTTGCCCCTATCCCTTCTCCTGGTCCTCCTTTCCCTTCTCTTCTTCTACGCTCACGGCAGCGCGCGCGAGAGGGGGGGGGCGGGAGCAGGAGGAGCAGGGGAAGAAAGGGCAGGGACTCTTTGGGACTCAGCCTGGCGTTTCACCAACTGTATGCCGTCATTCCGCTAAAGGAAGCGTGGATGGGGTGCCACGAACCTCTGGCTACCAGGACAGGGTTGCACGTGTGCGTCCTCGCATGCGGAGGCCAACATGGACGATCCTCCAGCATGCGGTGGCTGCTGCAAGAGGGGGATGGATGAAGGGAGAGTGATTGTAACAAGAGGGAGGGGGGCCAAGGCGTTACTAAGCAATCGCCACAGGCTATAGGCATCAGCTAACGCCGAGACGCGCGCACGCCAACACAGAGACCGCAATGGGGCTAGCCTCTGGCAAAAGGCGGCTGACAGGCTGACTGGTGTGGTTAGACCCTGCCCGGTTATGCAGCCAGGGTGCATCAGCAGTTCCTTGCAGAGGCAGCAATAACTGCGGCCTTGTGGCCCTGTTGAGAAAAGGGAGGGGAGGACAACGAGGGATCGCGCCCAGCAGAGAACGGATCCATTTGATGGGGGCACCACTGGGGCCTGCGACCGAACAGAGAATGCCAAAACGGCTGTTCCGCATGTGCTCCTCTCTTGAAGTGGAGGCGTGCCGTCCCCTTCTCCTACAGCAAACCCGCATAGTAAGGATGGGCAGCCTTCCCAAGGGTACCCTTGCGTCTTGATATCGCTCGGACGTGTGCATTTTTTCTCGACGGGGATTATTTAATCGCTTCGCTCATTCCGCCGGCCCTGGAGCGCTATTTGGGGCCTCTTGGGGCCGTCTTGGGGGCCTCTTGGGGGCTTCTTGGGAGCGTCTTATTGTTCCTTGGCGGCGTATTGGGCTCCCCTGGGGCCTCTTGGGGGGCTCTTGGGGGCCCCTTGGGGCGGGAGGGGGGCTAGTCGATTGCAGCCACCCCCATCGGAGGCCACGATCCTCGTGAGGGGTGGCGAAAAATAGCCTCCCCCTGGGGATCGCCCGGGACCCGGCCGGGGATCAGCCAGGTTACTGTTCGTCTGGGGCCTCCCAGGGGCCGCCCCGCGCGCGCGAACTAGAAATATTGTTAAGTAGTTACCGGAGATCTTAGCACACATCTGACCCGTTGGACCGGCGAATTGGGGAGCATCCTGGATCATCCTGCGAAAAAGCCGCGCACGAAACCGAAAACAACGCAGGGAATGGTCGTCCGAGCGACGGGGAGGCGTCCTTGCCTCTTCGGTCCATCCTCGGCCACTTTCGTTGGCCGCGCCCCGCTCGAAAAGCTTCGAAATGGGCGTCCAAGGCCCTTGCATCCTTACCGCGCATGCTGCATGCTTACTGCACGGGTTGACCGTAGTTCGGCAGGCGGTCGACTCTGGCCAACCACGGCATGGTCCCATTCGCGCGCAGAGGACCCGGCGCACTGGGAGCCTCTGAGGAGTCCGGGCCATGCAGAGGCCAGGCCCTGGGGGTACACCACACATCGCCCAGCGATCTCCCAGTCAGGAGCGACAAAAGGACGTACACGTACATGAATCCACGTTGGTTTCGAGAGTACGCATTGCGCAAATGTTCGTATAACGCGGCCGGTCTCGCGGATCGAGGGGCCGTGTTCATGTACATAGCCGGGTTGCGTACGTCCTTTGTGGGCTCCCTACCCAGGGGAGCTGCAGGACTGCAGGCAGCGATTCCCGATCGGGGGAGACGGAGGAGAAAACACTACGGGGAGGCAAGGAAGGGAGACGGTGCCCGGTCGCGGTGCGTCTCGGAGGCTGTCGCGTGCCCGTCGCGCGGCCGAGTCCGCGAACCGCGGCAGGGAGCGCGGCGCAGCGCTTCGCCTGGAGCGGCGCGACCGTGCAGAAGCCACGTCTGTCGGGCCGGACGAAAGGGGGGGATTGGGAAAGGGGGGGTTACGAAATTTGCTGCATGCAGCTGGTTTCGGCCCCACCGAGGGGCCCATTCCTCGATACATGGGCGCCTCCGGCGCCGGGGAAATCAGCTACGCGAGCTGATTTTCTACCCCCCCCCTTTGCTATCCCCCCCTTTCGCCCGACCCGAGTCTGAGGGGGACAGGAGGGCCTCCCGGAGGCCTCCTCGGGGGAGGTGTGAGATATCGCCACAGCATGCGACACTCACAAAGCAGAACGGAGAGACCGGGCAGGGGCCCCCTTGCCAGAAGAGCCAGCGCGAGCCCCGACGCACGGAAGATTGGCATGGTTGTGTGTGCTCCTTCGTTGCGGCCAGGAGAAGCCAGAGGGAGCACGTGCAGGCAAGGACGTAGGACTCCAGGCTCCAGTCCCCGCGCGACTGGGCATGCGCCTCTGAAGTGGAGATCGAATGCGGAGCCACCGGGTTCTGCGCTTCGTTACGCAGAAGTTTGCGAGCGTGCCCCATCCCAACCCGTGGACCGACCCGTCCACCGATATATGATGCCCATCGGCAGGCAAGACATCGCATTGCGTACCTCAGCACCGTTCAATAAGAGGTGTTGCGTGCTGACCTTCTTGTTTTCTTGCGGCCGAGAGATGCGGGCAAATCGAGCTTGATTACAGAGGGAGAGGCATGAAAAGAGCGAGGCATATGTAAGAGGGAGGGGGTATAGAGTGAGTGCATCTGCCTGGCACATTACTTGGCAAAGAGACGAAGCTCCCGAGTCCCTTCTCCCGCCCCATATTGAACGCCTCACCATCCTTACCGCGTTGCGATCCACCTCGCCCGTTGGAGGATCTGGATCGCTTGGAGATGACTCCGTCGCCTCAGAGATTGGAGCGCCTAAATTTGTAGGCTCAGGCTCGACCTTCGAATCGCCACTCGCGTACTTGTGAGGCTCGGAAGATGGCGCCGCCGCAGCCGATGGCGTGGCGCCACGGCCATGAACGCGGATCCATTCCCAGGTCCAGGTTTCGTTGTCTGGAGAGGCCGAGGTCTTGGTCCAATCCGAGCAGGTGGCAACGGAGCTGGTCGGAAACCACCTAGTGTAACTGCGCGTGGAACTGCGCGTGGCACGGTGATGCGGCCATCCCTGCGCCGGCGCTCCACCTCGGGAGTCGCATGCGGGAAGAGGCTGGGGAGAGGCGCCGCGCGGACCAGAGGAGCTCGCGGCAGGCGGATCTGCCAGCGCTGGAAGGCCTGCAGCCTCTTCGAGGCCTCTGCTCAGGCAGAACTTGCTACGCCACGACGGGATGATGGGTGAGAAGGGGAGCCAGGGGGGTAAATGAGGTGACACCGCGCGTGCCTGCCGTGCTGCAAGGAGCTCCCCCCCATCCCATCGCCTCCATCCTCTCTTGAACTGAGGAAGGAGCACCGCGGCCGGGAGCGCGGGGGGACGTGGGAAGGAACATGAGGCAAGCAGGGGCAGGAGGCCGTGCGGCGCGCGCCACCGAACCTCATCGTTTGGCGCCTCAGAGAGAAAAGGAGGACGGATCGGGAGGGCATTAAATTCAGCGAGCGAAGAACGGTATAAAATAAACGTTTTCGCTGTCGGGGGTGCCTGTCCCTGGGCGGCTGGAAAGTCTATACTCCTATGGTGCCACCGTAAGGGTATAAACTTTCCAGCCGCCCTGGGACAGGCGCCCCCGACAGCGAAAAAGTTTATTTTATACCGTTCTTCGCCCGTTAATAGATATTGGCCTCTGACGGGCCTGAGAACGGATGCGGCGTCTGCGGCGAGTTTTTTGCGGGCCGGATGTTGGGCAGGAGGCGTGGGGGAGCAGCTGTGACCGCGCTGCCTCTTGGGGGTGAAGGGGGGCGTCGGTCTGCTGCACCTCCTCCGGTGCTCCTCGGCCGAATGGCGAAACGCCTCTCGCCCGTACACCCTAGGCGATGCTTAAGAAAACCTAAGTTTTCGGCCAGAGTCTCGATTATTCTTAACGTTTCAATGCAAATCTTAAGATTTTAATGGACATGTTGGGTTTTTGTATTTAAGTTCTGAGACTATACCCATGATTTCTTAAGCATTTTGCAGGGTGTAATCTTTAGCACTTGCTTGTCCCACTGATGGCCGTGGCACCTGCCGCGCCGTAGCGGGGCGGGCAGCAAGGAAACTCCTCCCCTCAGACGTCCGCGTGGACTGACGGAGCATGCGATTCGAACGGCAGCCTTCACGCGGAGCTTGGCCGTGTGAGAACGGCTCGCAGTCTCCTCGAATGGCTCTGGCTCTCCCGACTCCTCGACCATGGGCGGAGACTCATCCATCCTCTCCGCAGGAGCCATGGACGGAGCCGTCCCCGCTGGAGTACAGAAGCGAAGGTGGGGAGGTGCTGGAGGCGATCGCGATTCCATAACAAGGCTTCGCCCTCGGTTCCGTGGGCGCGCGTCCATGTCCTGACCCAGGCGGCCCTTGCCAACCAGTCCTTTCGCGTTTCGCCCATGCAGCTGGTGAGACCACTGGAAAAGGAAGGTGGACGGTCAAAAGGCCTAGAGGGAGCGCCAAAGGGTGAATTCCCTTGCCAGGCCCCTGAAGGTTGCTGGGCGCAGCGCGCCCGCGGAGCGCGCTTTCTCTCATCGAGCCCCGGGGGCAGGGGGATCTTGCCCAAAAGCTCCGGGCGGTACAGGGGGAGGGCTGCTGAAGTCGTCTGGCGGCGGGGAAGCTGGCAGGGGAGAAGAGTTTGAGCACACGCATTCCTGCTGGAGGCGAGAACCTTCGGGAAGGGACCTGGTTGCAGTGGAGGTGGTAGGCACCGCCCCGAGATCAGCAGAGGAGGGTGCTCCCTGGGCGAGGGTTCTCGGGCTGCGCCGCGGGGCCGCGGCCTGCGAGGACCGTGCCTACGTGGTGTCCGAGTCCCAGGCGACGCTGCCGTTCCTGCTGGCGGACGCCCAGCGCGGCGAGAAGGAGCCCGTGCCTCTGCCCGCTCGTGCGTCTGGGCTGCCACCGGAGGAGCGTCGGAGGCGGCCAAGAGGGGGTTGGTGGCGAGGGGTGTGTGTATGTGTGTGTGGACGTCATGGTCGGGGCCATGAGATTCACCCGGATTCGATGCCACCTCTTCTTCTTCCCCTTCTTCCCCTTCTGTCTGCAGTGCGCTCCTTGGGCCCCCCCCCCTCGTCCGCGCACATGCGTCAGGCCATGAGTTTGCGAATCCCCATCGTGGATGCCCCCTGGAGCCGTTGCCAGACCGTATTGGGCTGGTATTCGTGCATATATCAGCCGTCTTGGGGCGTTCGTTCGCCGTCTTGGATACTGGAGGTGCATCTGGGAAGCAACGTTGAGGAGAACGGTTGCAGTGAAGGTGAGAGGGTCTGCCCTAGATATCAGGAGGCATTCCACCACGCTTCACCGTGCCGAAGGCGCGGTTGCGAGTTGGCACATCCTTGCAAGCATCATGATGTTGTTTTCTTGAATTTCTGGCATATTGTTGCGATTATGATGGGAATTGGGCATGGCTCTCATTCTCCCCCAATTGGTCGTGCCGTTCCCATGTTGCACTGCCGGAGGAAATTGAAGCTTCGCAAGAGACTGACAGACCATATGTGCGAGTATTGCCAGATCTGAGGTACTTTGAGTTGCTCGCTTGTTTCCATACTATCTCTCTCCCAAGTTTGGTTCGTCCATCCTCTTTCGGCATGCTGCCCCTTCTCTCTGAGATGTGCAGTCGTCCCACTGCCATCATACCTTGATCTCCTAGGATGATCTTGAGCTTGATTGTTGGTCAATATCCGTAGCTTCGGAGGCTGAGTTGTGTAGACAGCTGCAGTGAGTTAGAGAAGCGTGTTTGATTCCCTGCGTCAGAGGCGAGGGTGGATTGCGTGCGGAACTGCAAGCATTCTAACGATCCTCGCATTGCGGAAACAGTGTCGTTGCAGGTTGGACAATCGTTGGCTGGATCTCCGAGTCCCTGCCAACAACGGCATTATGCGAGTACAGGCTCACGTTCGCGCAATGCATTGTTAGCATTCAGTATTGCCCGCTGGCGCGTGAAAGGAGAAGGGGAACGGGAGCAGGAGGAGGAGGGGGGGAAGCTGAGAAGACAGCTGTCTGTTCGCAGACTGTCAGCGATTGTTTGATTGCTTTCCTGCTGAACGCTGAAAGCTGAGGTTAGTACCAACGGAAACGAGGGGGCTCAAATCACGCTAGCACGATGCAGATACGCTCTGTCTGCGAACATGCAGTCTTCGGTCAGCAGGCTGCTTGCTCACCCGCGTTGGCACGAATGTGAGCGCGCTTGGTGGTCTCTGTCGACGAGTTGTTCTCTCCCGGGGCGCGGTGCGAGTTCGCAAAGGCCAAGTCTAGATCGATCATTAGTTCGAACCTTCGAATCAAGGTTACCCTCCCAATTGTACCCGCTCCGGATGTTGTCGTCGGCGTGTGGGGGGAGCGCGCCAGTCTTGGCCGTGTGTATATATATATATATATATATATTATATATATATATATATATAATATATATACATATATACATATAACGGCGCACCGGGTCCGGGGGCCCGGGGCCGGGACCTCGACCACAAATGTGCACCCCGGGGGGCCCGGAGGCTCGTCGGGGCTTGCCGGAGGCCTCCCCAGTCAGACAAGACGGCCCAAGAAGCGCCCAAGACGGCCCAAGAAACTTCCAAGAGGCCTCCAAGAGGGCTTCCGAGATGCTGAAGATGGCCCCAGACGTCCAAGGACGCCCCCAAGAGGCCCCAAGAAGCCTCCAACATGCGTCCCAAGAGGGCCCCTAGACGCAAAAATTGGCCCATTCCCTTCGTAAAACGTACATTTTCAACAAAGTTGTCTTTTGGGCTTTCCGACGTTACAGGACGGCCCAAGAGGCGCCCAAGACCGCCCCAAGACGGCCCAAGAAGCTTGACAGCCCAAGAGGGCCCCAAGACGGCCCAAGAGGCGCCCAAGATGGCCCAAGAGGGCCCCAAGACGGGCCCAAGAGGGGGCCCAGAGGGGGACCACGAACCGCAAGCTCGAGCCTTCCGCCCCAAGAGGCCGCCAGGAGGCCCCCAGGAGGCCCCTCAAGAGGCCCCAGGAGACCCCAGACGTCCAAGGACGCCCCCAAGAGGCTCCAAGAAGCCTCCAACATGCGTCCCAAGAGGGCCCCTAGACGCAAGAATTGGCCCATTCCCTTCGTAAAACGTACATTTTTAACAAAGTCGCCTTTTGGGCTTTCCGACGTTACAGGACGGCCCAAGAGGCGCCCAAGACCGCCCCAAGACGGCCCAAGAAGTTTCCCAGAGGGCCCCAGGACAGCCCAAGAGGGCCCCAAGACGGCCCAAGAGGCGCCCAAGATGGCCCAAGAGGGCCCCAAGACGGGCCCAAGAGGGGGCCCAGAGGGGGACCACGAACCGCAAGCTCGAGCCTTCCGCCCCAAGAGGCCGCCAGGAGGCCCCCAGGAGGCCCCTCAAGAGGCCCCAGGAGACCCCAGACGTCCAAGGACGCCCCCAAGAGGCCCCAAGAAGCCTCCAACATGCGTCCCAAGAGGGCCCCTAGACGCAAAAATTGGCCCATTCCCTTCGTAAAACGTACATTTTCAACAAAGTTGTCTTTTGGGCTTTCCGACGTTACAGGACGGCCCAAGAGGCGCCCAAGACCGCCCCAAGACGGCCCAAGAAGCTTCCAAGAGGGCCCCAGGACAGCCCAAGAGGGCCCCAAGACGGCCCAAGAGGCGCCCAAGATGGCCCAAGAGGGCCCCAAGACAGGCCCAAGAGGGCGCCCCGAGGGAACCCCACGTGGGCCCAAGGAGGCCCAAGAGGGACCCAAGAGAGCCCCAAGAGAGCCCCAACATCGGTCACGCGGAAGAGCTCTCGCGTGACCGATGTTGGGCCCCTCTGTGGGCTCCTCTTGGAGCTCCGAGAGGAGCCAAAGATGGCCCCACGAGGGCCCCGACGAGACCCCAAGAGGACCCAAGCAGGCCCAAGAGGGACCCAAGAGAGCCCCAGCATAGGTCACGCGGAAGAGCCCTCGCGTGACCGATGTTGAGCCCCTCTTTGGGCTCCTCTTGGAGCTCCAAGAGGGGCCCAAGATGGCCCCACGAGGGCCCCGAGGGAGCCCCACGTGGGCCCAAGGAGGCCCAAGGAACCCCAAGATGGCCCCAACATCGGTCACGCGGAAGAGCTCTCGCGTGACCGATGTTGGGCCCCCTCTTTGGGCTCCTCTTGGTGCTCCGAGAGGAGCCCAAGATGGCCCCACGAGGGCCCCGTCGAGACCCCAAGAGGGCCCAAGGAGGCCCAATAGGGCCCCAAGAGGGCCCCAACATCGGTCACGCGAAAGAGCTCTCGCGTGACCGATGTTGGGCCCCTCTGTGGGCTCCTCTTGGAGCTCCGAGAGGAGCCCAAGGTGGCCCCACGAGGGCCCCGACGAGCCCCAAGAGAGCCCAAGAGGGCCCCAAGAGCGCCCCAACATCTCCTCTCCTTCCTCCTCCTCCCTCCTCTGCATCTTCCTCCTCCTCCTCCTCCTTCTCATCCTCCTCCTCCTCCTCCTCCTCCTCCTTCTCCTCTCCAGGGGAATGAAAACCAGAGGATAGCTCACGGAGAGCCCAAGCACCCTCTTGTTGCATCCATCTTGGCTTCCAGATGGAGCCCAAGAAGGCCCCAAGGAGGCCCCTCAAGAGGCCCCAGGAGACCCCAGACGTCCAAGGACGCCCCCAAGACGCTTCGCGTCACCAATTTCTTCTCGCAACGATTCCTGGGTCTGTGACTCGACAGAACCTAAGCGCGCGCGAAGCGCGCGCGTGGTTCTAGTATATATATATATATATATATTTATATATATATATATATAGATGCCCGTCGGTCGTTGGAAGTAGATACTTCTAGATTTCCAGACCCTAGTCTAGTTTAGGCGCCTCCCTATCTCCACCACCACGGTTCCCTTCCCTGGGATGCCTCGTCGGACCGCGCGTCCGCGGTGCGCCTCCCTCCCGCTCCCGCCAGGCCGGCCAGCCTTGTCAGAATGCCAAGGGGCCCTCGCCAGACCGCGGCAGGCCGCTTGGTAATACATTGGTAATAAATAAGAATAATCATAATAATAATAAGAATAGGAATAATAAGAATAATAATAATGATAATAATAATAATAAGAATATGTCACACCATCTCTTCGTGTTCGTTCTTCCCACTCCCTTCCTATCTCTCGTTCCTATCGTCTCACTCCCTGTCCATCTCCCGTCCTCGCACTCTCTCGCCATCTCCAAGCCAGTTCGGATGATGATGATGATGATGATGATGAGGAGGAGGAGGAGGAGGAGGAGGAGAAGGGGGAGTACGGGGAGGGAAATACCCTCGGCCAAAGGTAACAACATGTCTGAAGCGACGCCCACTGAAGCCTAGGGGTGAGATGCATTGGCTTACGCCACACCGCCGACCCCTTGGGGTGGCAGCAATCGTCCCCCGCGTGGCCTGTCCGGACAGCCTGTGAGGCCCCTCTAGACACGTTTTGGAGCCCTCTTAGGACCGTCCTGCCGTTCCCCCAGGCCGCTGCTATGGTTTCTGGGGCCTTCGCGAGGCGCCCGGAGGCCGTCGTGGAGCCTTTTGGAGAGTCTCTTGGGGTGCCAGAGGTCGATCTTGGAGGTTTACTGGGCCGTTGTGGGCCTCGTGGAAGCCCAAGAAGCGAATATGCTGAACATGTACGTTTTCCCTCGGGAATGGGACGATTTTTGCTTGTGGAGGTCTGCTTGGAGCGCCTCTTGGTCGCGTATGCAAACGTCTTGGACGCCTATGGGGCTGTCTGGAGGCAATCTTGGGCGGTTTGGGCCGAATTGTCCCCCGCGTGGGCCGTGCGGACAGCCTTTGGGAGCCCTCTTGGCCCATTTTGGAGCTCTCGTGGGACCAGCTTGCGGCTTTCCTGGGCCGTTGCTATGATTTCTGGAGCCTTCGTGGATCGCCCGGAAACCGTCTTGGAGCCTTCTTGGGAGCCTCTTCGGGTGACAGGGGTCGATCTTGGAGGTTGATTGGGCCGTTTTGCGCTGCGTGGAAGCCGAATGGGCGAATGTGGTGAAATGTACGTCTTCCTTGGCAATGGGATGATTTTTGCTCTGGAGGGCCTCTTCGGGGCGCCTCGTAGTATTGTTTCAAATGTCTTGGGGACTTATGGAGCCGCGTGGAGGCAATCTTCGGCGTTTTGGGGCGACCTTTCGTCGATTCGTAGCTCTCTTGGACCGTTCCGGGAACCTTTGGAACCTTTTTGGCCCGTTTTGGGGCCTCCTGAGGTTCCAAGTGTGCAGATGATGGATTTGCCTCCCCCCCCCCTCCAAACCGGCCAGACCAGGCCCCCAGGAGAGGGGTTTGGGGAGGGGGAAGCATCTCACACGCCGTGGCCCCAAGGGGTCGGCGGATTCCATGGGGGGGTGGGAGTGTGTCCTCAGCATCCGTCCTCCTCGATGCTTCCCCGCCTTGCCTTGCTCTGCCCTTCTCGTGCGTGCGCGTCGATGCAACAAGTCTCCCGTTCGTATATGGTCTTCACATCGTCATGTGGGGAGATCCGATAGCATAACGTTGATTTGTTCTGGGCAGGGTGGCACGTTTGGCCGACCTCCGTGGGGTAGGTTCGTGGCTTCGGGAGCACCAGCGCGCAGTGAAGTTCTAAAGGTGGCCAGTTTTGAAGGTTCAAGTTGGTTGTATTTTACAAGGGGGTGTGGTCTCCCGATCGCCAATCTGGCGTCATGTTTGAGAGAATGAGACCAGGGGAGCGCGAGCGCGGCCTTCGGGTTTCGGGTGCGCCAACCTGTCGCACGTCGAGGTGACCTGCTGCCTGGGGGACACACGCCCGGTGTAAATTTTGCAGGGGTGTGGCCTCGGAGGGCGGCATATTGGCCTTGGGAGCGCGACCTCGGCGTAATGTTTGAAGGGTTCTGGCACCTGGCGGAAGCTACGTGGGATGGCTGTTTGGGTAGCAGACGTACAGCGTCATGTGCACGGGCTGTGGCTTGGGGAGCGCGAGTCTAGCGTGATACAAATGGGATGATTGCCTCTGGGACGCGAATTTGGATTGCCCTCGGGAGCGCGAACCTTCATTATCTACGTGTGCCTGGGCACCCCCAGAAATTCTGAGGATGTGCTTTTGAGAGGGGGACCAGACGGTGTTCGGGTGTTCGGACTCTCCCAAACGTGCGGACTGCAAGTGTTACGGCAGTGGAACGAGAACAGATAAGCACCCATAATTCTGACGTAGGAAATTCAGCTACTGCAGTGAAGCGGACACCGTAGTCCTCGCAGCTTGCTGGCCCCCATGGAGGCCAGTGGATTTAGCAGGATGGGGTCGAGTTGGATCAGGAAGCACGGTTGGAGGTGGGGAAGATGATGATGATGATGATGATGATGATGATGATGATGATGATGATGATGATGATGATGATGATGATGATGATGACGATGATGATGATGATGATGATGATGATGATGGTGGTGGTGGTGGTGGTGATGGTGATGGTGATGGTGATGGTGATGGTGATGGTGATGGTGATGGTGATGGTGATGATGATGATGTTGATGATGATGATGGTGATGATGATGATGTTGGTGGTGGTGGTGATGGTCGTGGTGATGGTGGTGTTGATGTTGATGATGATCGTGGTGGTGATGCTGGAATATGCATATTTATATATATATATATACGAAGATGATGAGGATGATGATGTTGATGACGTCGATGTTGTTCATTGTCATCATGATGATGCTGATCAGGATGGTGAGGAAGACAGAAGGGACGGAGTAGGATGATGATGCTTATTTTTAGATGGTTGCAGTTTGCTGCCCATTTTCCGAGCTGTTCTTATTTTTGATCGCGTCCATCAGATCTGAGGAGGAGTAGCAGAAGTGATGCCGAGGGGGAGGAGCATGAGAGAATTCTTTGTGGAGAGGGTTACATACCAGTGCAGAGAGCAGATATTGCGACGAGTGGCGTACAGCGATTTGTTCTTGTGAAGCTCAGGTGGTCGCACGACCACAGCAAGCGGCCTGCAGTAGATCATGGTCACGCCACTAATGTCCCACTTTCCCTGGAACCAGCTAGCTCCTGGCAGTGACAGCGTTTTGGAGGCGCACACGAGCAAACAAGCATGAGCTTCATCGTTTGAAGTAGCGAACCCAGGCAGTTCAAGCCTGTACTTGAGCCGGGGCGACCGTTATATCGTTCTAACCATACGTGTTGTCGGCATGATGGCGGAAAGATAAGGCGTAAGGCGTCCGCGAGGCTTGCGGTCGCATTGTGGTGAGCATTCAGGGTGGTTGAGGCGTTCGTCAGCACGTACGGCGCATCGCATCCCCGCGTCTGAGTAGTGCACCGAGCAGACATTCTCCAGGCTGCCGTGTGCCGCATTTTCCGGAACACCCTGACCGCCAAGAGTTTCATCGAGATCCATTCTCCGAAGTTGATCTCAGGCAGGCCAGGGGGCCCTCCTACCCCAGCGGATCGAATTTCTCGTTCAGGTTCCAGATGGGGAATGCTGCTGGACATGGGCCAGAGAAGAGGGTTGAGCACGAGGAGCAAATGGAGGTAAACATCGGAGGACGACGACGTGACAAAATGAGGATGGAGGGAGGATGGAGGCAGGATGTCACAGGGATGGACCACGACTAAGACATGTTCTCGAGGGGCCTCATGAAAGGGCCCCTCATGTGAGGCTCTGGCCTAAGGCCTGGTCACTGAACGTAATGAGCTGCACGCTATCATGATCCCACGGCCCACTGACCACTCGGCATCGCCACCCCAGATCAGCATCACCAGGCGACGGAAGGGCGTCTTTCTCAGCTTTGCCCTTCGTCTCGCAGCTTCGGTGTGCTTTGGGGTGTGTTCGGATCGTGGGCAGAAGGAGTGACGACAAAGGAGACTGCTGCGTCGTTTTTTGTCCAGGATGAGAGAGGCGTGAGGCGCAGCGTTGCTAGCAGCCCGCCCGCGAGTCATCGCGGAGCACATGCCAAACATGTTGGTTCTTTCTGTTTGAAGCAGAATCCGGAGCCACGGCTGCACCCCCAAGCCGGGAGCTTTGAGGCGGGGTTCAACGCAAACGGGGGTCAGCCAGAGCGCCAGATCATGCAGGATCTTGCAACGGCAAGATTGCAGTGACCTGGGTTAGCGCGCAGGATCGTCCAGGATTTCGCAGGGTCCTGCAACGCCTGACTGACCTGTGTTTGCATGTGCCCGGGTCAGTAGAGAAGCCCGACCGAACTTTGTCAGGGGTCGCCGCCAGTGTGGAGGAGGATGTTTTGCCAAAGCGCAGTTTGTGTTCCCCAGCTTCTGCGGCCAGCTGCTCTGCGCAGGCGAAAGCGAAGGCGGTGCCGATGTGTTCCGCACGGACTACTTTGGAAGGCTCGCGGCACAGGGCCTGGTGGGTCGGGAATACAAGTTATGGATGTTCCGGGTATCCCTTCAGCCCATCTAGAGACGATTGCCAAGCGAGTGGCCCTGATCAGGGAAGTGTAGAGGAATCCCGTGGAAGAGACAGATGAACCCAAGCTCTGAGCTTGGACGTGGAATTGCTGAGCCTGTCGTCGAAGTCAGAGGAAGAGGGGGATGTGGAGGGTGGAGGGTAAGTGGAGAATGCGGGGTCACGAAACGCACGAGGGTGTGCCAGATTGGGCGTGGTCAGGCATGCGGACTTTGCCACTTGGGCCTTCCGTGGAGCTCCCTTCTCTGGCACACCCACTCAGGGTTTTGCCAGAGAAGAGACACGCTGAGGGCAGAGGCAGGAGGGAGGAGAGAGAGGAGGAAGGTAATGAGGGAGTGTGTGCACGCGCGGCGCTGCGCATTCAGAACGAGCACCCACACGCCACAGAATGGGTTGGACAGGTTTGTGAGCGCTTGCTGGTCCTCTCGGGGTTTACCTTGGGACGGTCCTTGGCCACCTGGGGCCATCTCTTGGTGCGGTTTGGCCTCGTGGCGTATTGGAGGAAGGCTAGAGGAGATCTTGGGGCAAGAGGAGGAGCAAAAGGAGCGATGAGGAGGCGCACGGGGCGGAGCAGGAGGAGAGCGAATGGGAGAGGGTACGGCGAGGGTGTTGGGGAGGTGCGTGGGCCTCCAAATACTTTGATGTGCATTCATCTCTGCAGGCAAGCATCTCTGGCGCAGTCGCCGCAGCTCTACAAGCAGGCAGCCTCCTGTTGACTTTGTGTTCTGCCACTGGTAGTAGCACGGCTTACCTGATTCATGTGTTCCGCTTCCAATGGAAGTCACATGATGTCTTGTTCCATCGTTGTTACTCGTTGTACACTTGTCCTCACATTTACATAGTGGCCCACTTGGTTGTTGTTGCCTTTGGCTATCTGTGTTGTCTCTGTTTCGCTCTGGTTGCCGCAGATGGCGATGTCAGCCGACTTACCTGGTGTATTCGAGGCGGGGCATCTTGTGTTTCGTTTGTTGTATATGTACCCTTAGCATTATAGTTGCCAAGATCGATGGCATCCGCGAGTTGAGCGCTCACGATATTTGCAATGGCCCCTCTCAGCTCGGAAAGGCAAGTTGGTGTCTTTCACGTGTGCGCATTGTTCATTGTCCAGTATGTCGACGGCATGTGATTGATCCGTTTCGAAACATGTTGTGGACCACTCTATATATCAATTATGCCCTTGCTTCGTTCCGACCAGCAGCGTCCTGGCAGGTGGGGCCCGTTTTCCGCGCTGAGAATTCCAATACAAATCGACATCTTTGCGAATTTACCGGCCTGGATCTCGAGATGCCGATCGATTGGCATTACGATGAGGTCGCAGGGGCTTGTTCGCATAGCAGAGCTGCATCAAGCATGAAGAGGATCCGCATAGGATTATGATTCGCTTCGCTCATTTTGCTGGCCCAGACTCTCCTCTCGCGGGTGATTGCCCGCGTCCTCGTGTCCACGGACTGATCATGTCGTGTGGATTTCAGGCGGGATCGCAGAGGGATCCGGGAGGAGGAGGAGGAGGAGGAACAAGAAGACGATGAGGAACGGCGGGGAGCGAGGAAGCGGAGGGGTACGATGTTGAAGATGATGATGATGATGATGATGATGATGATGATGATGATGAAGGAGGATGAGGATGAGGATGAGGATGAGGATGCGCGCTTGCGTATGTCTTGCAGCCGTTGTGGTGGGGCAGAGCAGAGCAAGTTTTCAGAGCGTGGGATGTAGAAGGGGGGGGGAGTGGCAGCAGGAGTAGGAGGGGAGAGAGAGCTCTACGAGGACCCCTCTGTGAGACTGGGCGGGTCGTGGGAGGGGAGGAGGAGAGTGGGACGAGCGGAGAGATAGAGAGAGAGAGAGTAGCAGAGTCAGGGAAGGGGGAGCATAAACGCGTGCTTGGACGGAGACTGTGGGTTGAGGCAGGGCTCGTGGACACGGTCTGTGCACAATTTTTCATTGGGCCGGTGAAGGCATGGGCGGCGTTCTGAAGGCATCCGCGTTCGTGCATTGTGTCAGATGCTGTTAACGCGCTGTGACCAGGGTCAGGCTTTCAGTTCAGGTGAGTTCTTCACATTGCTAAAGCCAGTGACACTGGTGCTGATGCAATGTAGCTGTGTGGGTTACGCAGGTGTCATGTCGGGTATTCGGGTCAACGTAAAGCGACCGTTCTGGGAATCACTGTTGCTATATGTTGGTGTGCTCGTGGAGAGCGAGAAGGAGGAAGACGCTGATGATGAGGAGGAGGAGGAGGATGGAGGATGGGGAACATGTGGACGGGTGGAGGAGGAGGAGGAGGAGGAGGCCTCTCAATGGCTTCTTGGGGCAGGCGCGAGACCTCACCATATTGTGGACAAGATGCCTCGTTGGGATTTTGCTTGGGATTTCCAAGGAGCTCTCTCGGGGCCTTTTGAAGACAATGTTGGAAACTCCTGGTGCCTCTCGGGCGCCTGCTGGCGGTCTCAAGGGCCATGTGAGTTCAGATCCCCACATCAGAGCCTTCTTGAGAGGCCTCTTGGGCCTCTCTTGCGACGCCTTGGGGCTGTCTTGGGAGCGTTTTGGTGGAACTTGGGGCGACCTCGGCAGCCTCCTTGGCTGCCCGGGGCGGCCAGAAGCCTGAGAAGGCGGTAACCCGAAAATTTCCAGAACCCCCAGCCACATCAATGGATTTTGCCTTTTGGGGGGCCCTCCTGAGGTCCTCGTGGAGCTCCCTGGGGCCGTCTTGGGCGTCCCTGGGACGGTCTTGAGTCCATGCTTGGCCATTTTGGCGCACTCTTGGCCTGAAGCCGTGGGGCCTGCTTGGCGGCGTTCCTGAGGCGCTCTTGGAGCACTGAGGGCCGCGCCCAGGATTTCCGGCACTCCTGGCTGGCCCCGATCCGGCTGGGACCTTGTGCAGTTATTTTGGCGGGGAGGCTGTCGAACGCCAGTGCCAGCTGCAGGCGGTGGGCAACCTCGCCGTGCCGCCTTGTCCAGCATGGGCTGGAGGCGAGTGCGGTACAGTAGAAACCCACGTCAATAAACACCCCGCTTGCCTGCAGGGTGCCCTTGGTTTCTTGGGTTTCGATGGTTCTGCGATGGAAAGCGTGACGTTCCTAAGGGGGCAGGGAGGGCCATAGCCTGGGAACGAGGAGGAAAAAGCCCAGGCAGCCGCACCATTCAGGCAGCCTCGCCCTCTCGAGGAGTTGCACCAGCAAGGGGAGATGGAGGAGTGTCTCACCTCCCCCTCCACAAACAAGCAACGTTACGCAATCATCGCCAGTAACCTGCCCAGCGTTCCGAGCCCCACCTCCAAGGCGAGCGGTGCTGGCACGACCGAAAGCGCATCTACCCCGAGGACGCGCAATGAGGGATCCGTGTGCGATCCACGTTTCATTCTGTGCAGCTCCATGGTCGGCACAAGCGTGTGCGCAGGGAACGCAGACAGCAGCCGATACTGCGAAGGCAGCAGGGCCCGCTCCGAAAAAAGGACGGAAGTGGAGAGCGGGCCTCACCGACGTTTGCAATAGACATTGAAGTCCGAAAGGTTGTGCAAGAGAACACGCTTTCAAAGGCACTGTTGTACTCCAGATTTTGTAATAAAAGGGAGGGGGTCTGGACCCTCCAAGACAAGCCATTTCAGAACCCCCCCCGTGGGAGAACCCTCCAAAACATCGTCCACAGACCCCCCCACAAGATAGGCTGGAAGAGACCCCCCCCGAAATGAGACCCCCCTGCCTTTATTACGAAATCTAGAGTATTCGCCCCTCTGACCAGCAAGGATTTCATGCAGAGGAGAAAAGAGGCAACGACAGCGACAACGAGGAGGAGGGAAGCCCACCTTGCCGGCCAGGCACGCCGGGGGCCAGCCTACAGGGCCAGGCGGCATGGGTGGACCAGTAAGAATTGTGCAGCGAAGTGCTAGGAACGCGAGGCCCCCAGTAGCAGCGAGCCTCGCGACCCTGAACGCCCGTGGACACCCTTACAGGCAAGGCCCGCACGGCGCTGGTGTCCGCGGGGCTGTGAGAGCGTTGGCCTCTGTCGATCGTTCATGTTCCCGCTGCACGTCGTGATCGCGTTCCTCGTGGGACTTTGTAGAGATGATCTCTTCCCAGCGGCAGGTATTTTTCGTCCATGGTCTCCATGGGGCCACCCTGCGCGCGCCAACTGTCAAGATCCTGACCTCGTGATCTAGCCCGTTGGGCTGGCCAGTCTGCGAAGGCAGGTTGTCACACCAGGTCGTGTGATGTCTTGCTTGCATTTGGAATGGTATGGCCATTCTCTTCAATTCCATATGCTCGTTCTGAAAGGTCGACTAGCTAACTTCTGCTTGCCTCCAGGGAGCCCCTGTTTGTTTGGTTCTCGATGCTTTTGCGTGTGAAAGCGTGACCTTCCCAGACCAAAATCACAGGACGCTCTGGGGTCTCAAGGTTGGACTGCTGCTGGACGTGTTGCAATCCAGCCTTGCAGACCTCTTGTGTGCCAGCGCAAATTCGACTGCAGCGGGTCCCAGGCAGGGAAGCACCTTGTTCCACGTACTAGCGTGAGTGTGCTTACTCCAGATTTCGTAATAAAGGGAGGGGGGTCTCATTTCGGGTGGGGCCTCTTCCAGGCTATCCTGGAGGGCCTGGGGGGTCTGGGGACGATGTTTTGGAGGGTTCTCCCACGGGGGAGGTCTGAAATGGCTTGTCTTGGAGAGTCCAGACCCCCTCCCTTTTATTACGAAATCTGGAGTATCATACATGGGCATCTGCGCACCTTCATGTTCTTTCCTACGCGTGGGGCATCTGTACGCGTACGCTTGTGTATGAGATTGTTGGGGCCGGCCAGTCCTTACCGGCCCTGGGCGCGTGGCTGAAGTGCCGTTTCCGCAGTACGGGTTCCCATTGTTGAGTTAGATGTTTTAAAGGTTACATATTGTTGACACCCCTCACCGGTGCCCACTGTAGGTTGTTCAATTGAAGTGCCCCCCCAGGGCTCGCACCTTATCTTTGGTGAGTAAATGCTTCCGTGCTCAAACTGCGCTGTTGGGCCTCAAGGCGACGACAGCAGCTCCAGCTTGAGCCGTCCTCGCACTTTTTGAAGGAATCTCGTGCTCGCGCGAAACTACCTTACCATTTTCTCAGGAATCGCGCTCTCGCTTGCGATTTCCTTCCATCTACGAGGCATTGCGCTCACGACGCACAGGAATCGCGCCCCCCGCACAAGACGTCCTCCCTGGAGACTTCGCAGCTTACGAGATTCGCTTCACTGTCCCGCCCGCCCGACCCGCCCGTTGCGGCCCGCCCGCCCGCCCCGCCCGTTATGGCCCGCCCGCCCGCTTCAATGTCCCGCCCAGCCTGGTCTGTATCAGGAGCGAAAGAAGGACGTACATGTACATGAATCCACGCTGGTTTCGAGAGCGCGCATTGCACAAATGTTCGTATCACGCGGCCGGTCTCGCGAATCGAGGGGCCGTGTTCATGTACATAGCTGGGCGCGTACGTCCTTTGTGGGCTCCCTACTGTAGGGTCCGCCCGCCCGTCCCGCTCGTCAGGGTCCGCCAGCCCGACCCGCCCGCCAGGGTCCCCCCGCCCGACCTGCCCGTGAGGGTCCGCTCTTGCGTTGCAGCCCGCCTGCCTGCTTTGATTTCAATGCGCATCCTTGTCGTTGTCCCTCTGGTCCCCGTCCCTTGTCGTATCCTTTCTTTCTCCCTCCCCTGTCCTTTTCTCCCTGGCCTCCCGAGTTCAGAGTTCGCGCCAACTGCACGTGGCAGGCAAGGACGATGTACCCCCCAAAGGGGTCACGATCGAAGACGCAGAGGAAGGGTACCGCGGGTTTGGGGCATAGAGATGTTGAGCGAGTGCCACGCGGGCAACGAAGAGCGAACAACACTTAAGGGATCATTGTTGCTGTTCGTCGTCCTCGCCCTTGACCCACCCGCGATCCACCCACATTGCGTTGACAAAACATCGGCCCCTGCGGCGGGCTCGTTTTGCAATGCGTTAGAAGATATGCTATTTCGGAGGTTGTATTGGAACTTGTTTTCGAGCCTCGCAGGCTGCCGACGACCCCCCTCTGGTGCGCAACTGAGAAGGCGATGGTGTGCATATCGATGTATGTGTATGTATATATTTGAGTATTCGTATATGGATAGGGGTGTGTATATGTATATGTGTTCATACATATACACATATTGAACATACGTACATACATCAGAACGAGCGCGTTTGGACGCAGGGGGGGGTCGAACCAGATGGGGGGGCGTGCAGTGTAAATAAGATGCGTACATACATAATGGGCGGTGCCGAACCAGAGGGGCCCCCCGTGAATTGCAAGGGAGCGGGGGGCCGAACCGAGGAGGGCACCCCCCTTCCCTCAGGGGGGGGGG